CATCTACGTTAGAGAGGATATAAACTACGAGGAAGTTAAAGTAAACACTCCTAATCTAGAAGCTAATGGAATCCAAGTCACCATCAATAACCAAAGAATAAAAATCATTAACATCTATCACTCAACACTAAAACCAATTAAAGATACAGACCTAGATATCCTTTACCAATTAGGAAATAAATCAACCATCTTCCTAGGAGACTTCAATGCCCATCATCCTACCTGGGGCATTGCAGATAAACTAGACAACCATGGACAACTAATATCAGAGTGGATCGAAAAAAATGACCTAATACTATTAAACAATAACCAACCAACTAGATACGACAAAATCCACCACACCATGTCGGCTATCGACTTAACAATATGTACGCCAGACTTAGCACAAAGTCTGATGTGGGACGTCCACCCAGTACCTCTAGGCAGCGACCACTTTCCCATAAATATAACCCTAGGAAATATAAAAATACCAAATCAAACCCCTAAACATGAACCTAAATTTCAGTACAAAAACGCCAACTGGGACCAATTCCAAGAATTATGCAACGAAGCTAATCTAAACGATTTCGAAACAACAGACCCCGAAACATTCTGTCAAAACCTAACTAACTTCATAATCAACGCAGCGAAATCCGCAATCCCCTTCAAATCATCCAACCCAGGAAAACCCACTGTCCCTTGGTGGAATGAGGAAATAGAGCTAACTAGACTAAAACGCAAATCAGCTTTCAACAGAGCTAAACGAGACCCCTCTCATCTCAAAACAGCTCATGAACTAAACCACCAAGTCCAAAACCTAGTTAAAACTGCTAAAACAAAAAACTGGAAAAAATTCTGTGAGGAGCTAAACCACCACACCGACGCTAGGAAGGTGTGGCGCAAAATTCACGCCATCCGAGGCATCAAACGGCACAAAAAAAGCCCCAATATAAACAACTCAACTAACCCCACCCAAAAGGCCAACAACCTAGCCAAACACTTCTCTAAAGTTAGTAGCAACAGTAACTTCAGTAAGAAATTCCAAGATAAACTAAATAAAGAAATAAAATTCTCCAAAGAAATCAGACAAGACAACCTAGAAATAAATCAACCTTACACCATAGAAGAACTAAATCACGTACTAAACAATAGAAAAAAAAGGAACAGCCCCTGGCCTAGACCTCACCTCTTACCAAATAATCAAACACTTACCTACCAAACTACTCCAAACTTTACTTAAACTATACAACCTAGTTTACCTAAACGGACAGGTCCCATCCTCATGGAAGGAAGCTCTAGTAATCCCAATACCTAAACCAAATAAACCAGCAGATCAGGCAAACTCCTATAGGCCCATATCCCTAACCTCAAATCTCTGCAAAATAATGGAACTTATGACTAAAAATAGGCTACAGCACTACCTAGACCAAAACAACATCATAAACCCCGACCAAAGCGGCTTCACTCCTGGCCGATCAACTCTCGATAACCTTGCCCGACTAGAACAGGATATAAAAACAGGACAGCTAAACAAGCAATACACCATAGGCATATTCCTCGACTTCTCTAAAGCTTTCGATATGGTATGGCACCACGGGCTAATACAAAAACTAAAAAAAATAGGACTAAAAGGCCAAATAATAAACTTCATCCAAGATTTCCTAAACAATCGCAAAATTACCGTAGGTATAGACCATACGCTATCGGACCAGTGTCCCCTAGAAAATGGCACTCCCCAGGGCAGCATTCTCAGCCCAACCCTCTTCAATATAATGATAAATGATCTATTCGAGGGCTTATCCCCTAAACTAAACACTTCAAAATTCGCGGATGATGGAGCCCTATGGATCCGCACTAAAAGCATTAAAATGGCAGAAAACTTAATCCAAAAATCTCTAAATAAAATACAACAATGGGCAGACAAATGGGGCTTCTCCCTTAACTCAGATAAAACAACAGGAGTAGTATTCAAACATAAAAACATGAAACCTGCCTACCCAATCCTCCAGCTAAACAACCAAACAATCAAATTCCAAAAACAAACCAAATTCTTAGGACTTATTTTCGATCAACACCTCACCTGGGAGGCTCACGTCCAAAACCTAAAAACTAGATGCAGCAAAGACCTTAACACATTAAGATGTCTCACCGGCTCTAACTGGGGAGCCTCCAAAGATACCCTCCTCTCACTATATACAACACTAATTAGATCAAAACTAGACTACGGCTGCGCCATATACAATACCCTAAACAACTCTCTATCTAAAAAACTTGACTCAATACAATACCAAGCCCTTAAACTAATTACACGCACCCAACATGGCACCTCCTACACCTCACTTCAGGCCCTTACAGGAGAAATGCCACTAAATCTACGCAGGGAACATCTAAGCCTTAATTTCTGGGCCGCGTCCCAAACAAACCCTCTCATCCAAAACTTAATTAACCAAAACATTAGCCCAAGAAACCAAGCTCTAGCTCGCAAACACCCCTTACTCCCCCCAATATCCCAAAGAATAACTAACTACCTCAATGAACACCAAACTCAAAATCTTAAACAAAACTGCAAAAAATCAAATATCTTCACCCCTAAACTCAAAATACCCCAAATAGACACAACGCTTACTAACCAAATAAATAAACAAACCGACCCAAACATAGCTAAAACCACCACACTTTCATACATACACGAAAATTGGCCAAATTGGTGTCACATATACACTGACGGATCCTCAGACCCGATCTCCAACCACACAGGTTTCGGAGTCCATACCACACAACCAGTTATATCCACACAATCTTACCGACTCCCTAACAACCAATCTATATTCACGGCCGAACTTATGGGCATGGCCTCAGCCCTGCATAACCAACAATCAAAAAACAACAAAAAAATCCTAATTCTCACTGACTCCCTTAGTGGGCTACAAGCCCTCCAAAACAAAAATACCAAAAAACGACCTAAATTAATAAACCAAATACTTAAAAGCTCCAACGACCTAACAAAAGCAGGCAAACAAATAACCTTCTTGTGGATCCCCGCCCACGTAGGAATTTACGGCAACGAAAGCGCCGATAAAGCAGCTAAATTATCTCTCAAAATACCAGAAATAAGCCTAAACCTACCCATCTCAAAATCAGAAATTAAAAGTGTAAACAAACAAAAAATAACCAAAAAATGGCATAATCAATATCAAAACTCAAATAGCCAAATCCAAAAAGTGCTCAAAAAACCACTAGCCAAACCTAAAATCCTACACCCCTCTAAAAAAAATTGACAGATTAATTACAAAACTCCAAACAGGACACACCTAAATAACCACCTAAAACAACTTAAAAGACACACCACAGGCAACTGCCCCCACTGCAAACAACCCGAAACCACAGAACACGCACTCATCCACTGCACCCACTACCAAACACACAGAACCACACTACAAACCAACCTCAATCTAAATAAGGTTCCTACTCTAGATGAAATACTAAACCCTCAAAATAAACTAGAAAACTTCAAGGCCCTAGGCGTATTCCTAATCAAAACAGGCCTAATTAAGCGCATCTAAAAACTAATTAATCTACCAATCCAAAATCCAATAAACATACATACACCCACCTCACCCGGCTCCCTTAGTTCCCTCCTCCACCCACCTCGGCATTTATTCCAAATTTTAAAATTTCAAAAAATCGATATAAGCAACCCCTAAAAGCCCCCTCTTGTGTTGCACACACCACTTTCACCCTTCTCGGAATACACTAAATGGTCTGGCCAGGCCCGTGTGCGAAATACGCTGCAGTCGGAAAGCGCACGTTAAATCTTCTATATCAGTATCAGTATCAGAGATTTAGAATAAATTAGAAAAATCCAAAGCCTTAGGCATATACCTAATTAAAACAGGACTAATTAGTCGCATTTAAACCCCAAATAAAATATTAAAACTAAAACTACCTTATCTAACAACCACCCAACACACACAGCTCCCTTAGTTCGTCCTCCACCCACTCTTGGCATTCATTCCAAATCTCAAAATTACTATATATAAGCAACCCCTAAAGCCCCCCTCCTGGGTTGCACAAACTCACTTTTCCCCTTTTCGGAAACACATTAAATGGCCTGGCCGGGCCCGTGTGCAACATACGCTTGCAGTCGGAAAGCGCACGTTAAATCTCCAATATAAGTAAGTAAGAGATTGAGAGAAGAGAAAAGAAAGGTCTAGGGGCACCTAGACAACAACCACTACCACTATGTGCTGACCTGGCACATAGTGTGTTTTGTATGTATTTATCTACATGTATAAGGTAAAACTGTATATACCGCAAGCCATCGTCTCCAAGTTGTCACTTCCTACTGAGAACCATACGTCGTTCCCTTGCATATACGAGTATGCAAATTATTTATTAATCAATGGCAGACCACTAATTGCATCAACATTCTTTTACATTTATAATTGGGTATATTTTAACAGAATCAATGACAAATGTGGGACAAATTGTGTGTATTAGTTTAGAAGACAAATACACACAGTAATCTAAATCTCTGCATATAAATAATGCCTTGCATAATAGGAAATATGCCCTACACTGATATGGTAAATTATCATGTCCAGTGATGATGACATTCATCATACAAGTTCCACCTTGATGGTCAGATAAACATCAACATGTGAATAAAAGCCTATATACCTACATTATTTTGAAAACTGATGTTATGGTAAAGACATATTTTATCTTTTCGGCCAAATAAAACTTTAAACACAAGTCTAGGCCCACTAAAATCATTTCTGGCTCGGGTCCAAGACCCCAAGCACCATTTCTTTGCCCTGGAAAATAACGGTACAGACAAAATCACTCCTTTAACATTGTGGGTTGCAGCAACGTTATGACCACTGGGCTTGACGCCTTAGCGTGTCAATACCGCACTCGAGAATGAACATTACAATTGATTATTAGGAAAGAGAAAACGTTGTAAACATTCAAATAGATCTATTTTCACAACATCATTCTTCAAATGAAAGTTAACTGACGTGCAAGTGGGACACCCCTTGGTCTCTCAATGGCGCCTTCTACGACAAGAATTGTGACAACAACCGACAGCACACTCAGCGACATCGCCGACATTTTTCTCAACATGTGAAATTAGATGTCGCTTTTCCATTGGCCAAATGAACAAGGGAGGCTACTCCTAAAATCCATGACGTTTTGAGTTCATCTTTGCAGCATCTCGTTGTATTGTGAGAAGATTACATTTCATCAATTGAACATAGCGAAAACACGTATCGTGACAGAGCAGTAGCGAAAATGATTTCTAAAACTAATATATTAATATCTTATGGCGAATCCAATGTTGTAAAAGACTTCGAGTTCGTTTTCGACAGAACATGTGACGTCACGGTGATCCGCCAGCAACCCAAGAAATAATTTTGACGTATTTATCTTTTGTGATTTAGGCAAATGTGAGCCGTAAAAATGGCGGATTTCTTTAAGTCAGCTTTTGGATATTTAAGCGGTGGCCAGGGCCGCATAGACAGTGATTTTGTAGGGCAAAGTGTTGAGTTGGGAGACCAAAAATTGCGAGTTAAGAAAGTGATAGCAGAAGGTAAGTGTCAAATCTTGACATTATCTTGGTCTAACTTCATTGAGCTTGCTCTATTTTTTGTATCCTCTTCATTGATATGTCCAGCTAAATTATCCTAATTTCTAACGACCCGACTGCATTAACGTTAGAAGTATATTGGCTGTCACATTTGTGTTTATCCTTATTAGATATTAATAATATCTGACACTGAACATGAATCATGTGTATGATGTAAAAGTAGAGTGTGGCTTTAAAAGTCAATTTTATTTATTAAAAGAAAAAGTTGTTACTTATCAAGAATGATATGCTTTACACTGTAAGCAATTAAGGAATTTATGGGATGCGAAATTCTGCAAACCACACGCTTTGAACTTGAAAACAGATGCTAAAAAATGCACAGTGCAACCATTGGAATGCAGAAGAATTGTGGAGTAGTGAACTTTACCCAGGGCACTCTTTTGAATTTCAATCAGCAGTTTGGAGGATCCAATTCAAGTTGCCAGTTTGAACAAGTTGAAGCCAACACTTCACAGATATCAAGCCATCAAAAATATATTGTGCTTGTTTAAATGTTTATCAGCCCCCATTGTATGCCTCATATTTTACTCAAATTACATTGAATTAAATTGTCAAAAGAGATAGCTAACCCAGCCCTATTTGACAACTAACCCTAAATATCGTAAAGTGGTGCCTCATAGGATGGCTAAGGGGTGTTTGACTGTCAAGTGGTTCCCAACCCAAAAGGTTGTGAATTGTTGTTCGATGGGAAAGGGGTACCTAACCCTAGTGATTGAAAGGGGAGCATGATCGGCAAGGCGATCTCACATGTTGCTATATAAGTGCAATAATCTTGGATGCGACGTTAAACCCAATTTCACCTCCCCTCACAAGAAATAACGGTAGTCAAATATTTCAGAGTACCCTTTTATTTTTGTTATTTTACTTTAATAAAGCTGTTTGATATTAAGAGCAATGGCTCCAAAGCAATATATGTATTTTATGTCATTTTAAGATGTTTTTATGATGATATTTGCTTTGTAGAGAGATTTAAAAATTATGTCAATAAAATTTATACTAATTATTACTTGACATTAAAATAAATGAGGCAAAGGTGACCATGAAAACATATGCATAGTCTATCAAATCACCCAAATTAAGCTGGTTAACTAGTAGGTGAACATGGAATATATTTTTGTGTGCTCTTTATCATGTTTATAGTGTACATTGGATAAAATGAACATTAGACATGTTAGATGAGGTTGAGTTTTGTGATTTACAAAAGAACAAAAGCTTGGTCATCCTGTTTGAAGACGTCCCAAGGTGACCACCACTAGCTGCTTCAAATTGGATGAAAGGCGACTAATTTATTTGAATTTTACTCACCAAGGACTACATTAATGTTGGAAGGCACTTTCCCAGGTTGATTGTACTGAACTGTTTATTTGGTAACATAATAGTTTGAACACACACAAAAAAAGCAGAAAAAAGCCACCCCATCACACTATTTTCCCAAAAGCCATTGCCTGAGAACCATATTCTTTTTTCTCTTGTCAGCCATGTTCATAAGTGCAGTTTGCATTGTATCTGTAGGGTTATCTTAAGTGTTGTGTGATATTAAGGTCTGTACATGTTGTCAGAGTCTCAGAGAGTGCTCCACAGACAGCTGCATGCACATCCCTGTAGAAGATGTTCATAGGTTAGGGACATGAAGAATAGGACTTAGGAGCTACTACATTATTTTAATTGAAAAGACAAATTTGATTGCTAGGAATTCAGTGGGTCACATCACCTTACATCATGCAGTATATTTGATGCACAATTCCTGAAAGTAATTTCACCATTTTACATGTTTGGTGATGGATAAATAATATATATAATAATATGATTGACAGGATGAATAATATATATAATACTATAATTGACAGGTGTTGTGAACATGGTGAAAGGAGGTGATGTTCATATCTATTATCAGCTGTGAGGTCAGTAATCATTTATAAATTAATAAGAGTTGATGTTTGTTTGTAGGTGGCTTTGCCTTTGTGTTTGTGGCACAGGACATAAGCAGTGGAAAGGAATATGCCCTTAAGGTAACAGCAATAAATTTCTTTAATTAGTTTTGATCATGTGGTTACAATCTGCAAGGATCATCAGTGACTGCGAGGAGTTATGTTTATCAGTACGCTGGCAGACTGGATTTTTCTTAAACGTTGACATTGCAAATTTTGTCATTACTGACAGTTATATTCCTTGTCATCTGTATGGCTTGTATTGACGCACATGTAGCTGTCTTCGTTGATTAATAATCACAATATTTCATGATTCTATTTCAAGTGGCGAGGGCTATAAGTTTGATACAAGTTGATTGATGACATTGAAATGTCAGGAAATGTCAGATTAATGCATAAAAAAAGAAAAAGATTTGCAATCAGATTCGATATGAACTATAGGTGACAAACTCAACACCTATCATATGTCATGACTCATGACTGTATCAAATGTGACCCTATCAATTTCATTTACTCATGAAATGACTTGTCAATACATGTAGTTTCATTCAGGAAGTTTTGTTGGTATGGTATGGAGACTTCGTACACCACCTTTGTTTGCAACAAGTACTGTAAATCTTGAAATTGATGTGTCTCCTGATCCCTAGCCAAAAATACGACTCAATATTAGTGCGACTCCCCCCTCCCCCCACTGGAATGATACATATCCTTACCTTAATCCAACTTTACCTTAATCTATTCAAGCAGCAAATAGCACCACTTATTTGCTTTGAGTAGCACTTAAGTAAAAACAAAAAACAGTGTCTTCTCCCATACAACAGTTTGGTGCATGTTGGGCGATTTCCTGTGCAGAGTTTCATCCCTTGGGAACGCCAGAAACCTATGATTGTGGGTTCGAATCCTGGTTCGCCCCGATTATATTTCTAGGTTTGTCAGCACCATACTTATGCTTGTGGGTTTCACCGAAGTGGTAAACGTCTGACACCGGCATCACTTCGGGCTTTCCTCCAACATTAAGCTGACAGTGACACACGTGATATAACTGGAATACTGTTAAAAGCGGCATTAAACCCAATTCACTCACTCATGAAGTTGGACTGTAAGTCAGTTGTTGTTATTCTGTTGACAGAGACTACTTGCGAATGATGAGGAGAAGACAAAGGCCATCATGACAGAGATCAGATTTCTTGTATCCTTGCATCATTCAAGACATGGCAGTGCTGCGCTCTAGAATGGACACTGCATGCTGCAACCCGTAGTCAGACATGATACTGTCACCTCTTAGAATACACACAGTAGCACTTCATCTGCTGAACCCAGCAATTTTTATATATTTTATGGAAAATGTTGCAGCCTTTACTTAGCTTAAAGTATGTGAAATAACAAACAGTGCAATCTTTGGCAATTTTCATATTTTTTAACTTTTTCTGAATCACTACCTTAATGCTTTTACTGCTGTTTTTGTACAAGAAAGATGGAGCTGTGAGAGGTCCAGGCTGCAGAAGAAGTTGTTCCATCTAGCTGAGTGGCTCATACCCTCCCACAGATACCACATGACCCGAAGTGGCGATGTCAAGTATAATCACATTACTGCTAGTCATCGGACTGAATAGACATTTAAGAATAAATTCCTTGTTACTACCAACCAGATAGCATCCTTTGCGTTTCCTTTTGGTAACCAATACGTTCATAATTGTATTTGTTATAGTTTTAGTTTGTTGTTGTGGTCCTAACACACTTTACAACGTGTGTTATCCCCTTCCACACCACAGTCTTCACTACCTAGGCATACCACTATCCGTATGCCTGACCCCAGGCTCTTTCATAGAGAGTTGTAGGTCTCTCAAGGCTTTGTCCGTCTTGGCCTCCTCTGCCCAGGCTATTGATTCAGACCGTACAGAGAATAATCCCAAACGGGAGGATCATCTGTGCACCATGATGTCATTCCAACAGCACCAAATCGCCTGTCTCCATAATTAACTCCGGGTTGCCTTGGCGTAGATCCTAACTGACTGGGACTCGGAGTGGAGCAGATCCTTGGGGCACATCCTCTCTCCTCCGTGTGCCATCTCTTAAACACGCTCGTGCCTCCAGCTTTGCCCATGATGAAACGGCGTTCAAGGCCCTGGTGCACGTTTCCAATCAATCCAAGTTTAAGCTGTCCAAGACAGGCAGCTATCAGCCCAGGCATGCTTCTCTCATGCTTTCCCCCAGACTTCATCTTCCTTTCATGGCAACAGTCATGTGTAGTCCAGTAGGTGTGAGATTGGGGAGGTTTTGGGGCAACTGGACCATCCTGCAAGATCCTTTTGTCCACCAACGTCTTTTCGCCAGGGGTACCGGCACTCTCTTGTGTAGCAGATCCACCGTTGACCTCCGCTCCTATAGTTGACACCCACCCTCCTCGTCAAGCTCAGCTATTGCTCAAGGCCATGAATCTTCTGGTGCCGAAGCAGGCAGTCGAGATTGTTCACAATCCCGTTGCTGATTCAGCTTTCTACTCTCCAATGTTCCTGGTGCCCAAGGAGGATTCATCCAACTTCAGAACGATCCACTGTCTCGCTGTCTTCAACAAACATTACCTGGAACGTCCTCCGTATTTTCATCTGACTTATGTTGAGTCTGCTCAGGACCAGATTCAGTGCAAACAATTCCCTGATGAGTAGCGACATCCAGGATGCTTACCAGGTTCGTTTTCAATGGTTTCCACTACTGTGGGCGGTCCTCCCATTTGGCATTTCTATGGCTCTGTGGTTATTTACCTGGCTTTCCAAGCCTGAGGAATGTCCAGTTCAAGTCATTTCTGCCACCTGTACTACTTCCCAAGGTTCTGCAGAAGATCAAAAGCTCACCAAATCCCTCTCAGCGTTTGATCGTGCCTTGTTGGCCAGCACAGAACTTGTTTCGTGACCTTCGACACCTTGCCAGTTGAGCTCCCCTGGTGGCCACATCTACTGGTAAATCCTCCCAGCCTGTTGCCACACTCAGCTCCAAACAAGTTTCATCTGCCTAGAGCCAACTACCCTCATGAGATTTGAGCCATCATTTCAACCATGGCTCTCCACAGAATCTGCTCCGTCAAGTCAATAAAAGAGGGTTATTTTTGGCACTCGGATACAAACTTCACCAGTCATTATCTCCAAGAGGTGGCTATAGAAGATGTGCAAGGTGTCCAATCCAAGTTTCGGTCCTGTGGTGGTGGCGCAGCAGGTCACAAAAACCCAGAAGGTCTTCACCTCGGAACTGACCATGCAACCTCTCTGGTATATTTTACCCCAGACTAGGGTGTTTCATGCTTCCGTTTGTTCCAGCTCCGTGGTCGGAATTTAGAACTTTGCCAATGCCCTTTTCTACTTTTCTGTTTCTATTGGATAGGAATTGTCTTTGGTCTTCCACCCAGGATGCTATCTGGTTATCTAGACTGGTTGAGTGTCTATCCTGAAATTACATCTGATAAAAATGCATTACGGTAGAAATGCTGGATAAGTTAAAAGAATTAGTAACATATAAATAATTACATTAAGTAATACGTTACCACTGTTATACCGAGGCTGTTGTCTCCCACAACTGCTGCTACAGCGAAATATACCACAGAGATCTCAATTACCTCATGCAGCACGTGTGTAGCCACCTAGTTGCCATGTGACACCCTTCACTCTTGTCTCACAAAAAGACTGCAGAAGCGTTCCTGTTTCTCCGACCATTCCGTGATATTTATTACTGTTTAATGTATCTAATAAACTGTACTTTTACGGGGCGTTTGCTGTAACTACGCTCGGAAATATTTTTCCCGACAAAAGGAAAAAAAGAATTCCCGCTCTTCTTTCTATATACTTGCGGGGTGTCTCGTATGCACGTTGGGTCTTACGGTCCCCTGTTATTTGTGGTGCGTGTGTTGTAACCATGTTTTGCTCTTTGTTCATAGTACAAACGAAATGTCTGACGTGGATCTTTCACCATCCTCCTGCCCCTCTACCCCCGCTACCAGGAGTTGCGGGGTGTGCCGCAAGTTTCTGTCGTCCGGGATCCCCATGATCGTTGCCCGCGGTGCAGGGTTCCTTGCAGGGACACCTGGTGCGCCCAGTGCGAGGGTCTGGGGCCTGCGGCGTTCGAGCGCTACAGGCTGTATGTGCAGTCTGTTTCCACCCCTGTGGTGGCCGGCTCGTCCGGTCGGGGTCCCCTTGCGGGTACAACCTCCACGTCTGCGGCGTATCCCTTGGCGGCCCTTGGGCTGTCTGGGGATTCCGTCGCTGCATTACTTGCAAAACTTGTGGACTCCAAGCTGGAGGCCTTATCTCAGGATAGGCCGCTGGCTGTTCCGTCCCCGGCCTCTTCGTCGGCCGCAGGTTCGGATGCGGGGTCCACGGGTACAGCGGCGGCTCCCGTGTTCACTGGTCCTTCCCCCGAACCGTTGCTCTTTGAGGACATGCCTAAGCCCCTGCCGGTACCGCGGGGAATCCACGGCTCTGTGGGTTCCGCAGAGGTATTCGATTAGTCTTCCAACAGGGCTTTCCCCACTTCAACCTTGCTGCGCGGGATCGAGCCTTCCTTGGAGAAAGCCTTCGCGACGGCCTCCGGTCGGGGTCTCCCGTTGCCTCCCCCGTCATGGAGAAAGGGTTCATTCCCGGTACATGACCTTGCCTTTCCCGAGGCTGGTCCTACCGCGGAGGCCCATGTTGAGCGGTTGGGTGTCCGTGCCCCACCGGCTGCTACGGTAACGCAGTCTACCTTGCAGCAGCTGGACACCCTCGCTCGGCGCTCCGTGCTTGCCATTTCTCACGGAGACACGTACTTGGCTGCAGCGGCCAGTCTGGTCGAAGGTTTTCCCACGGACCGAGACCAGCGCATCTATAACTGCTTGCTCGTTTTAAATGCTTCCCTGGAGTACGTTGCCGGGGCTTAGGCCTTTATTTCCGTCACTTGCCATTTTATGAGGCGCAGGTCGTATCTTGCCGCCTCGGGGTTGGATGCTGCCAACCAGGAAGTGCTCCTTTCGCAGCCTTGGTCTGCGCGGACCCTTTTTAATAACAAGATCCCTGGGGTTCTGAAAGAACAACAGGCTGCTTCGTCTGCCGAAGCCTCTCGACATACACTTGATCTTGTTGGGTCCCTGCATAGGTGCCCTCTCACTGGAAGGGTTCATATGCCGACAGCGCCAACTTCAGTTGGCCCGTAGGTGAACCCGAGTCACTCAGCCCTGGACAGTTGCGCCTGCTCTGGTGGACAGTGTCCCGTGCCAGGTACGTGCCCATCACATCCCTGGTGTGCGGAACGTACTAGCCAACGCTCTGTCGAGGCCTCGGAACCCGAGCCGCACCCAGTGGTGTTTCAGTGGCTGTGCGAACGTCTTGGTCGTCGGACGGTCGACCTGTTCGCAACCAGGTTCAACAATCAACTCCCATTGTTTGTATCACCAGTCCCGGACCCGAGGGCCATCGATCACGACTGGACGGGCATGGACGCTTATGCTTACTCTCCGACGGCGTTAATACCACTCATTCTGAGCCGGCCCTGAGGAGTCTGCTGTCGAATATTGCTGATTGCCCCCACGTGGGGCCGAACAGATCGTGGTACCCCGACTTGCTGGCCCAGGTCACGCAGTCGCCACTTCCACTGCCTGTGAGACCGGATCTCCTGATCCACCCTCACACCCCTCAACTTCATCCAAACGCAAGGCAGTTCAATCTGCACGCGTGGATGTTGTCACCCAGAGACTGAGGAGTAAAGGTTTTTCTCGTCGGGCGTCTCGGGCATACGCTAGTATGCATCGTGATTCTACCCAGAAGGTGTATAATGCACGTTGGGCTATTTTCACTAAGTGGTGTTGTAAACATCACATTCATTCGCCAGATAAGGTATCTGTGCAGGATATTGCTCGTTTCATGTCTCACTTACGAGAGACCCGGAAACTCTCCAACTATGTCTCTTCCGTTGCTACGGTACGGGACGTTGCTATGGATACCAGTCTCTCAAAAGAGCCGGTGATTCGGGGTATTATCAAGGGTTTCAAACAGCAAGATCTTAAGAAAGGCCGCCTTCAGGCACCGGCCTGGGATCTTTCCTTAGTGTTGAAATCACTTACGGAAGCTCCGTATGAACCCTTGAGTAGTGCATCTTTTCGGGATGTGACTTGGAAAACAGCATTTCTCGTCTCCTTTGCCACGGCGGCACGTGTGTCTGAGATTCATG